AAACACCTGCTTATGGGGGAACAAACGCTCAATCGGAACGACACATGATTTACAAAATTTTGATACATCCACTTTACAATTTACTCAAAAAGCAAACTGATGCCTATAATAAAAACGACTTTACATCATTCTAGCAGATATTTAGAGAAAAGATGATAAAATTTTAAAAGCGTAGATTAAAAGATAAAAGAAGATGAAAATTTAAAAGTTAGATGAAAGCGAAGGGAACATAAAATTTTAAAAGTATAGATAAAAGAGGAAATAACACAATGTTTTAAAAGTATAGATAAAAGAGAAAGGAAGATAAAATTTTAAAAGCCTAAACAAAAGTTCATATAAACTATAAAGAAAAGTGAATAAATTGCATGAAGTAAATTAAACTACTTGACGGATATTTATTGATTCCGATTTACGATTTGGTAAATCTAAATACTTTGATTCTTTATTACTGCTAACTTATATGTAACAAATACATAGAAAATTTTTTTGTGCTAATACGAATTTATGATTTATGTGACACTATCTTTCGGAATCACAGGAAAAATTAGTGTGATGTCATAAAATAGTAAATAACTTTAATTTTAATTTTCAGCAGTTTCTTTTCATTTTTTCCAAAGTATTATATGTGTGTAGTTTATAATTAGTTGCATTTTCAAGGCTAAATTTTCAAGCTTTAAGATGTCTGAACTTAAATATATCTTCCCAGTTATATAAGAAGATAAACTGCAAAAACTTGGTATTTCGTTTTGAGCAAAAATTGATAGCACATTTCCATTACTAAAAATGCGAAAATAATTATTACATTGCACGTTTATACATATGAATATGAAATATATTCTTATATAAGAATATATATAAAATAAACTTAAACTATCAAAGTTAAATATAAATTGGAGTCAAAGTAAGGCGATTCCTCTATATATGTGTATATTCTTAGTTACATAAACAAGAAAAATATACATGTTAGATTATAGTGAGAAAATGCATTTAAACATGGCTATTGCGAACTCGGTATATAACGAAGCTTCGACTGTAACTTAACAACCTTTTGTCCTCGTCCAATTTCCATTACACTTAATTATAACTTGTTATAATCTTAGTGAATCGGATACAGCGAACTGCTAGATATACCGAAGCAAACCGGCGGTCCTTTGGTCGAGATTTGATGTACTGTTTGATGTCTCACAGAATCAAGTTTTGTTTTGTTTACAAAGCAATGAAAAAGTTTTGAAATATGAATATTGAATTAATAAACGATATTTATATGTCTACTGTAAAAATTCTTAAGATGTGCAGAATTTTATTTAATTGTGAGAGCTAACAAATTTATTGTTATGAATTGCACTGTATTTTATCATTCTGCGTATATTCAAAGATTCTATAATGAAATAATCGGGGGGGGGGTAGATTCTGATAAAGCCTTTTAATTTTTGAGTGACTATTAATTTTATAATTTTTAATTTCCATATGCTTCATAAAAAGGGGATTTTTGTGTTTCTTAGTTCTCAAGTTTTTCATTTGGTTAGTTTTATTTGGAAATTACTCCTTTTTTTCTATGAAACTAAAAATATAGTATATCAGATCCTACAATAACATTTAAATTCTTTGAAAGTTTGGTTTAATTTTAAGTTCGTAATAAATCCTTTCTACATTATTACTAAAGATACTAATTTCGCATGTGATTTTTTACAAGGGTGAAGTGTCAACTCTCTTCTTCAAAGATCGCATAAACCAAACGGCAGCCCCTTGAAGTCTTTCATGCTGCGACATGAGCGATTACCGAGGGAAAAAGACCGCAATTTATCATTCGACATTGAACGTGAAATTCACAAAACCGTCACAACCGCTTACACTTGGACGAACACGCTTGCCAACAAGCATAAACATGGAGTTCTCACCCGTTTCGGCTAAAAACGCGTGTTGTGTGCCCTTCTGATGAATGATATTGCGTCGATAGAAATAAAGGGGGCCTATAGCTGGACCCCCTTTCTTCCCCAAGGGGACCGCCTCCTTTGTGTGGCCCGTGAAAGTAGCTGTCCGCAGGGTCAAATACACGAATTGTGGCTTGTCCCTGCTGTTTGGAATATAGGCCCAGCTCCGTCTGAGCCTTTGTTCCAGGGTTGCAGCATAACTGCGAATTTCTCGCCAACTGTTTGCCGCCAAGCACGGAAATTAAACTAATTTGCAATAATAAATATAGGGAAACACATAAAATATCTTACCTAAATTCATATTTTTTTTTTTTTTTTTTTTTTTCCTGTTTGAAATAGTCTAGTTTAAAACACTGCTATTTTTGCACCTACAGTAAATAAATGAAGTTGCTTTGAAATGCTAGAACAGTTTTAAGTTAAATGCACTCCCTTTTTTTCAATCTTTATTTATGTCTCTTTTTAAGTAATATACATTTGTCTTTAGTCAGAAAGACTATTGAACTCTACTTCATCAAAATTTTTATTCTAAAGTGTTGCCATTTTCATTTCAAAAGTACAGACTACTAAAATGTTTCATAACTAATTGAATCTTCTTCCATCTTGTAATCTTTTCGTGGTTTTCCGTGTACTTAGTGCAAATTTGATCTAATATATTTTAGAAAGTTCTCCATAAAGGCATCTCTTCCCATAGCCTTAATGTGCTTTGCTGTAATCGATTAAACAAACTATCTCACAAGCTTAACATTCATTTACGAATTAATGTAATGTACGATGATCTGAATATATTAATTAAACAAATTATTTAAAATGTTTTAGAGTTCTATGCTATTATATATGCCTCTCTTTTATTATCATTCTATATATATATATATATATATATATATATATATATATACAGGGTGGTTCAAAACTATATGTCAAAAATGTAAAGGCAGGTAAAGGGTACCTGAATAAGCAGATTTCGTATAGGAATGTGTGTGCGGTAATGCCGCATTAAAGCGCTACCACGCAAAGCAGTATGAACCACAGGAAACTGAAAAACCAAGTAAAGACAAAAGAAATAAAATATTAACAGTTTACAATAGGTGCTTGAAAGGGCGGCCATTAACAACGATGTAAGAGCCACAGCGGCGGCACATGGATCGGCGTACATTAAAAAAGACTTCATTATTTAGGTAATCTCTACCTGCCTTTACATTTTTGACATATAGTTTTGAACCACCCTGTATATATAGAGAGGGAGGGTCAGTGCTAGATAGATATACACCGATAATGATTTAGAGAAATTTTTTTCAAATTTTTTTAAATTCTCATTCTGTATTTTCCTAAATGCATGCGAATTTATATGCTACGTTGCTTAACAATTTAATGTTAAGCTACCTAACGAAAATTTTAAAAAAAAATATATATATATTAAAATTTCCTGAAAACTAGTATTAAGATTTTCCTGAACTGTGAAATATGTCTCATCATTACATTAAATATACTATATGAAAATAAAAACAAGGTGGTTAAACTGGAAATACTAAAAAATAAATAAATAAATAAATTTAAAAAAAAATTCGGAATTTTTCAGGTCAAGTTAATGTAAGAGATGTAAATTTTTAACCATGCCTTCTGATTTCATTGCGGAAAACAAATAATACCCAAACCACTGACAAACTAATATATCTTATAACATCCTTCTCTGAGCCTAAGATAAAAACTGCATGATTTTTTAAGCATTCCAATAAATCACCTACTCATAATGTAAAGTACTTTATATAACAGATGACTTTATAAGGTATTTTTCCCTCCTTTTTAGCATGTCTTCGTGGTGTAGTGCTCAGCACACTCGGCGCGTATTCGAGAGGTCCGTGTTTCGAGTCCCCGCGATTGCATTACTCATTTTTCATCTCTTTTGCTTCGAAATAACCAAATGTTTCTATAGTGGTGGCCGAACTAAAAAAAAAGGTGGTGGATGATGATTCTCCACCCCCAGGATTTGGCGGCTGGGTCTCCAAATCCCCAGTCGCCCTTTAAATGGGGGATTATACAAGGTATTTCTCCCGTTTCTTAGCATGCCTTCGTGGTGAAACTGTCAGCACACTCGGTGCATATTCAAGAGGTCCGAAGTTGGAGTCCTGGAGAGAGCATTTTTCACTTCTTCTGCTTTTAAAAAAATACCTAATGTCTCTAGAATTTTATTACGAATTAAATGTTATCGTCGCCTGAGATTTTAATTCTTAATAAGAGGATATTTATTATCCATACATGATTATTATCAGTGCATATTAGTGAATATGTTATTGGTGAACTGAGTGGTTATTATCCATAAATAATATTATCCACGGAGTTTGGATGTTGAGTGGATCAATGTCAGTGGATATTATCCCCTCAGGTGTCACAATGTCAGTGAATATTATCCACTGATCCATGAGAAGTCAGTGTATATGATCTACAAAGTTTTTTATGAAGTTCAGATAGATTTGTGTAAATACAAAATATAAATTCCTACTTAACCTGAAATCTTTATGTAACGGCTATGCAAACTGATTATTGTAGCTCTGCTTCAGCTTAATAAAATAGGTGACTCATGTTCCTATAAGCATAACGAATTGAGTAAAAAACTAAAATTATTAGAATATTGTTCTGTATAGCTCAAGAACTTGTCGAGCTGAAGTAATGGGTATCATTTCTCAAGAATACATTTACTATGATAACAAGGCTGTTGTTCTTTGCAGAAAAGTAGCAGTTATATACGTAAGGACCTTAATTCAACTTATAATATAAGAACTTCAGATTTCCTAAATGTTACGGTTTAAGAACTTTGCCTTTTAACAAACTCAGAGTGAAAAACTCTGCGTTTTATCCATAACTGTTTACCTGTAAATATTAATACAATTTTCTTTCTTATATTTATACATTGTGTGCATTAATTGCCCTTATACTGCTTTTATTTCCTCAACCATTAGTCATTAACAAATGCAAAAATCTACTAAATAAAGTAGATATTCGGCTTGATTTGGTCTTTTTAAAAATTAAAAAAGGAAATATGTAAAAATTACAAAATCTGTTTTTTTTTTATAGGCTCTCCAGGTTTTTATACTTACATTTAAGAAAAATTTGTACTCTTTCTACCAAAATTCTACTATTCAACACAAAACATCCGTCAACCGAATGACAAAATTAGTCCAGGTATGTAGTTTTAAAGTTTGAAAATATGTTTTCTTTAGTTTAGAATTTTAGAAGATGCATGCAGATTGAAACGCGAAATGTTTGTATTTATAGGTATCTAAAAACGAAATATAAGTTTAGAAAAATGTTTCTAATGTTAATAATAGCTTAAAGGGCAAATAATGATATGCAGATTATGGAGAAACGTTTTGAATAATGCACATTGTTTCAAAGGAGATCTTAATCACAAAATTTTATAGGATTTATGCTCTAGAAAACAGTAGCACGCTTTACAGTATTGGCGTATAACCAATTCATAAAAGCATTTGCATAAATTTAAAAGCATATGTAGTCCAATGACTTTTTTGTATGACTATTAGATTGTCACTTTAATATTATTCACCTGCACTTTAATATTATTAACATACTTACACTTGCCTGAAAACATTTTCGGCATACAATATGTAACAAAACTGTACATTTAAGAATATTACACATTAGTAAATTACAAAGAAATATCACCGAATGACACAAAAAGGACAAAAAAAATCAACTTCAAAATTTTTCCTAATTTAGTTTTGAATCGACTCCTCAAGATGACAAAAATTTGTTTTCGGCACTCGAAAAATCTGTAAAATTCTCACTTTGATATCAGATATCTCGAAACTTATGCATTTTATTAAAAAAAAAAAAAAAAAAAAAAAAAAAAATCTCAAAGGTTTCAGATTTTAAATTACGTCCAAAGGGCGTTTTTTTAACATTTTTTGTGTTACATTTATTTATTAAATATCACTTTCTTCGCCCTTAAACCATAAAATTCAGTTCAACAGCAATATCGCAAAATAGTTTTAAAATGAGCATATCTGTAGAATTTCCGATACAGAGACTCGCGCGCTTGAGATAAAAATGTTTTTCCTGTACAACGTTGCCATTGCTTGCTTTGAAATCCTAGAGTTTGTTAATCAAAAATTCGTTAAAGTATGAAATCAATAATAAAACAAATTCCAAATTTCATATTTGGGCTTCCATATGCCCATATTCGAAGAAGGATTACGTCATTCAAAATTCGATAGTTCTATGTACTGTTGTTTTATCACAATGTGAGAAATATACATATACTTATGCAGATTTTTTATTATTTAATTTCTTCAAATGTAATGCAATACCCTAACATTTGGTGGCAAAAGTTTGAAAAGTGAAACGGACATTTATAGTGAACCAACGCAAAATCGCAAAACGAAAACAATAGTCCTTCAGGGACAAAGCCTCTTTGGACTAATCAACTTTTAGTAAATATAAATATAGCTACCGAAAGACGTTAAGCAAATTATATTTTTTAATTTCTACAATACTTAATTTTAAAATTCATTGAAAATACTTTTGCCATTGAAATTACATGTTTATTCTTACGAAAATAAAGGGCATCAAAAAATGTTTATGGACATGTTATATATTTTGAACGATTTAGTCTTGGCGGAATTAATTTTTTTCTTTAACATATTTAATAAAGTGTAAGTATTTGAATATTTAAGCAAAAGTACACTTCTAGTATCGCAAAGCAATGTGAAGTTTGTGACCTCAACTTACATTTTTAGATGGAAAGATAATTTATATTTATTTTTAATTGTTCCTAGCTCTTACCCCATATGTAAGCGAAATATTTGATCTATGAAATTTTAGCGTTCAACACAAATTGCCCGCCTATGATTAATTTAGTATCACTCAAAAATGTTACTTGTAGGAATTTGTCGGAGCATTTCTGAAGCAATTTTAATAAAGAAAGTTTGAATTTCATTTCACCACATAGAGGCTATTTATCGAAATTTTGTAGCAAAGTTGTTTTAGCCGTCGAGCTATAGCTTAACTCCAGATCCATCTAATATAGAAGCTAAAATTTCAATGTACGAGCCATCTGAAAATTTGCGAGAAGATAAGTTGACAGATTGTCATACTGTTAAGTGTTGGTATGATGACTGAACATAAGTCCAAATAATCAGTCCGCGAAGATATCACAGCGAATGACTCTTGTCGCTAAACCACATAATCCTCTTTGAGTAAAACCGAACGACACGTCCTAACACCTTGAGACCCGCAACAAATGGTTTCGGAGCTTTTCTGCCTCTTTCAGACTGCCTCCCTTGTTCTCCCAACAACGCGTGAAGAAAAAATATTGTGCCCCAGGTACAGAAAAAAGAGAAGACTCCTCTCATTGACAGCGAACCACCAGCAGGGGTCCCCTTTTGATCCGTCCCGGTGGCTTTCACGCATAATATTCCAGATGCCGCCTCCCGCCACACGGTACCTTTATTCTGAATCTTTTAGGGGATGGTAAGGATGCCAGAAAAGTGACGATAGTGCCAAATTTCAGAATTAATGTTTCTGCTCGAAATCTACAGTTTGCTCCAAAACGTGTAGCAGTATAGCTAATTTTAAATAATCATAAAGTCCTCAATATAAATGATACGATTGTACAACGTAATTTAAACGAGACAATTTTGTAAAGTTTGTAACCCATGCTCAACATATGCACTCTAGCCTTATCAATTGCTTCTACAATTATTCTCTTTGAATTTGTAATGCCTGTCTTTGAGTTCAAAGCTGGCCGTTTAATTACCCGTTCTTAATATCTGTTAGGTTAATTTAAATACCAAGCTATTCCTCGTTCAACTGGATATTCTCCAATACTTGAGAAGCCGCTCATAAAAATTCCCTTTTGGTTATATTTCAATCTATATGAAGATAATTTTCCTCCAGTATAAGCATCTGGGTTTTCTTTCTCAAATAGTAATAATATTCTTACTAAGCCTTATAAGGTATTTCTCCCGCCTTTGTGGTGTGGTGGTCTGTACGCTGGGTGCGTATTCCAGAGGTCCGCGGTTCGATTCCCGGGGAAGACGTTGCTAGTTTTTCATCATTCCTGCTTCTAATTTACCTAATGTCTCTACAGCCTCTTTACAGAAGCGTCTGTAAATGGGGGGAAAATTATAAGTAACATGAAATTAGCCCCTATCTCTGATTTCATGTTTGAAAACTGTGATTAAATAATTGAACAAAAGAATTCATAAAGAATTTTATATTAATTAACTAATTTTTATGATTTGCAGCTGTACTATAACTTTTCCTTTCCGTTAGCACACACCAGGATGCAAATTAGTTTGCAGAGTATTTAAGGCGAGGATTTTGCACGTGTTAAAAATAGAGCTATTTGCTCTAAATTGTTGTTAAAAATAGAGCTATTTGCTCTATTTTTACACGTGCGAAATCCTCGCCGGCATCTTTATCTTCTACCGCCTAGCTCTTCTCGTTAAGATTTCAGAATTAACCACAGTTCTAAAGAATGTCAAATCGAGCTATAAATCAGATTGCGTAGACTAAATTTGTATAGTATCCGAATTAGCGATACTTTTAATTTGAAATTTAAATTTTACTGATATATTACGACTTGCAAATGACAGATTTTTTAAGGGGAATTTAAAAGGGATAAAATAAAAGGGATATTTAAAACCTTCTTAAGACTTTTTTTAATGTTTTAGATGGTGCGATAGTTCGCTTGTTAGTCTGATAAGCTCTGAAGTTAATATTTATAATTCGTTGTTCAGAACTACACTCGGAGAGGCTGCAACTTTCATCCCCCCCAAGACTCCAAATGTTTACAATACCAACAAACCGTACGAAGTTTGGATATATTTTGGATACCACCCGAGCGTCAATGAAATTATCCAGTAGTTTCGATGGTAGAAGTTCGGTTTCGACTTTCGTAGAAAGGTATTTTTTATTAAATCCGATTGAGTGCAAAAGTTTGCTACAGCAACCAGTGCAATGCGAGGATAAGTATTTAATTGGTACAAATGCACTGGGAAGTATCTGCTAGAGGAACTAGGTAGTGAGAATTATAACTTCGATGTATTCAAAGCTGTACTGTCAAGCGCATACCTTAGGGTCCAATACAGGGTGAAATTAGAATCAGTACTGCATGGTAAATATCAGACGAATGGGGATGAATTAACTGAATATGTCAAGTTCTGTGGCACTTATTAAAGTCTGGTCAGGTACCTAAAAGCTTTAAGTCATATTTCCTGATGAAATCTTAGGAACTGCGATCAAATTCTAATTGCACTTTGTATACCGTTTTGACACTAACAGTTTAAAATTAAAAAGAATCTTTAACATGTATCACAAATATTACATAATGAATACTTATTTTTTCATCTGTATTTATGATTTACAGAAAACGTTTTAAGACCAGAAAAATGATGAAATATTTTTGTTAATTATTAAGAACTTTAGTATTACCTGTGTGCAATGAGATTAAATATCTATACAAATTTCTACGACTTGCAAATGAAAAATGAGCGAAATACGAAAAGGTAATGGTAATTTAATACAGAGAAGGAAAAGGTGACAGCAACAATATGCCATCCCCCCCCAATAAAATTCCGTCGATGTTATTTTTCTTGATTAAGGGTACATTATTTTCGTGTTTACGAAATAGGTGCAAATAAATGCAAAATTTACCAACGATTAGTTGCGAGATATTGTTTATGAACTTTTTGAATGAAACTTGATAAAAAGCAGGTATATAAAGACAATTCGTTTCAACTGCATGACGCTTACTGTAAAAAGAACCGTTGATGTCGAATCCAAATTGAGGACTCCTGGCTTTCAGTGCAATCCAGCACTTTACCATAACACTGTTGAGGGATTTGATAAGAAAAGACGATAATATGACTTTTGCTTAAAATTTTAACCTCGATTTCTCTTCTTATATTTAAAAAAGGCGAGATCTCACTTCACATAGGTTTACTTTAAAGTCCCAAATATTATGCAGAGTTCAGGAGACATTGGTAGTTCAATCCAGTGTTATGTAATTCCTTACATTGTTATGACGCGGATATCGGGATGGTTCAATCTGTGCAATACAGAAACCGTATGGCATTCTATTTCTTCTAAGGTAAAACCAACTGTGAACTAAAAAAGTTTATCTCTGTGCTATAATGAAATGAAAAAGTTTATTCCTTCTC